ACTGTGCACGACATTCAGAGATCAGACTTGGGTTGGACTTGGTTACCTCCTATGTCCCTCCCCCCTTCTCTCTCGCATGTCTATGGATCTCTCCCTATGTGTGTGAGCGGAAGGGCAATCTTCCTAATGTCCTGCCCTTCCGAAGTTTCTCTCTTTCCTGTTGTTGTCCACGTGTCCTCTTGGTTACTATTATTCCGCTGCGCTGTTCCCCAGCCCATGATGATGATGATRCAAAKGTGTTGTTGTTGTTTTTCTCGTTGGTTTACTTGTTGCATTGTGCACATTGACATCTGGTGAATGTTGCATCTATGCTGCTGGTTGTTGCCACTTTCATCATTGCTAGATCCTAGGCWGTTAGTGCATTTCACTTTCTGATATGCAACAACAGTTTCATGTGTGCATGAACTGAGCATCCTTCGAATGTTGAAAATGAGAAGGAGAGTATGGAGCAAGGGGCTGTGAGATGCAACCCCATCCCCAATCCCCTCCCCCTCCTTCTCTCCCTCCTTCTCCCACTCCTCCCGCTCTTCCTTCTCCTCCCGCTCCTCCACCAAACAACATGACAAAGATCCCGCCATAGCCCCGCTCCGGCTCCTTCTCCCGCTCCTCCTCCTTCTCCTTCTCCCGCTCCCTCTGTTGCTGCTTGTCCTCCTTCCGCTGCTTCTCCTGCTTTTCCCCCAGTTCGTCCTCCCCCTCCTCCCGCTCCTCTTCCCGCACCATAGCCCCGCTCCCACTCCTTCCCTGCTCCTTCTCCCACGCCTCCTCTCGCTCCTCCTCCTCCCCCTGCCGCTCCTCCTCCGCCAAACAACGTGACAAAGATCCCTCCATAGCCCCGCTCCCGCTCGTTCTCCTGCTGCTCCTCCCTCTCCTCCTCCTCTCCCGCTGCTTCCCCTGCTCTTTCCCCCATTCCTCCTGCCGCTCCTTCTCCTGCTCGTCCTCGTGCTCCTCCCGCTTCTCCTCCTCCACCCATATCTCCTCCCCCTCCTCCGCCTCCCGTGCGTTCGTTAACCCCCTCCCCGTTCCCCCTCCCGCTCCCCCTCCCGCTCCTTCGACCGCCCCTCCTCCCGCGCCTCCTCCGCCCCTTCCCGTTTCTCCTTGTGCTCCCTCTCCCACTCCCAACCCCCTTCCCGTTTCCCCTGCCGCTCCTCCTTCTCCAGCTCCTCCTCCCACGGCTCCTCCGCCGCTTCGCATTTCCCCTCCCGCACCTCCTCCCACTCCTCCCACTCCTCCTTTTCCCGCTCCTTTTCCCATCCCTCCTCCCCGTCCTCCCGCTGCTCCCGCTCCTCCTCCGGCTCGTCCTCCACCAAACAACGTGACAAAAACAAGGTGACAAAGATCCCGCCATAGCCATCTCCTATGA